ATCTACTGGAAAATGCGGATCTTCAACAAATACTTGCAAATCCTCAGTGTTTAATAGACGTAGCATTTTTTCAAGTGCTTCAAATGATTGCAACATAATATCAGGACTATCCGAATACTTTATAATACCTGCTAATTTCTTTAAGTATTCCTCTTGTTGTAACATATTTCGTGCCATTCTGGGATCATCTAAACATTTGTTTATGATCGCAGAAAGATATTCTATACAAAATGTATCATTTTCAACATTATAAAATTCTACACATTTGTCCAAAAGATCCATTACTTTTTCTACTTCCAAGTCTTCAAGTGTGTTCATATTTTCTATCATGACGGTAGTTAGGTAAAGCGCGAAACGTTTAATAATTACACTCTCATTTGTTATCAAAAGATTTTTTTCTTGAAGCAGATCTAAAAGCCCCTTTTCACGAAGAACTGCAATGTTTTCAGTTCTTGGGCGCGAATATTCCAATAAATGTTTGAAAACTGTTATCAGTACACTCTCCTCCATGGAGCTGAGCAAGAGCATTGCAGTTTCTATCGTCCCAATTTTTACGGTCAGTTCACTCATAACTGCCTCTTCTGTCTCCACCCTATCTGGGTATGTATTCTGAACGGTATAGATACTTTTCTTTTTTGCAGTTGTCATCTTGCGGCTGTAGTTTATAACAATATACTAAAGAGATTTCTCTATATGTGTATAGATATATATAAGTTCGTGTATAATATTTCTTACAGATGTAAAAAAAGTGTCAAATTTTTTTTTAAATATAAAATATTAAGCACATTTAGTTAATATTAAATTAAAAAACATAAATTTAATTTTAATACAAAATATGCCAAAGAATCTGTGCGGTTTACGTAGGGGTGTTTGCTTGATTCCGTTCCAGAACTTTCTATGCCAAAGAAACATATTCCTCTAATCGGCCGCTTACTAAAAAAGTAGATGAATGTTTGCAAATAATGTATCGAGACCGGCACACAAGCTGTCAGGAGACGGTAAACATCAACCACAAGACAATCCTTTGAAAAAAGCAAGCTACGCAAAGATGCTCCATATCTTGGTAGCGTACGAATTAACGCAAAGAATTTGATTGAACGAATTACTATTAATGACACGCTGCTGAAATGCAGCGAAATCAAACCATTTTTGAAGCGAATTATTACGTTAGATAAAATATAAATCAAATATGACATTAACCGATGCAAGAGATTATGGTCAAAGGCCACTAACCCTCAACTAATTACTTCAAAGCTTGGATTGACAAGGTTAAGTTGGTTATATTCAGTAGGATTAAAAGGTGATTGTTTACTAAGAGCTGCTCAAGCCTATATTAATAGTTAATTCGGTTCATTATTCAATACAACTCGACCATTGAACAAAATAACTAGAATTGGTCAACAACAGAGAAGTTGTGTTCTATCATAACAATGTGTCCACCATAAAGGCCTGACCCGCCGTCTAACCAAAGATGTAATACGTCGATGAAAGTTCTACACCGATGGAATTATAATCTATATAGATATATAAAGTTTGCCAAAGAAGAAGAAGAATCCGAAAAACTTGACTATCTTGACGAAATAGTTAGACATAACCATAAAATTAAAATTATTTGGTATCAAAAACCTACAAATACTGGACGAATTTGATTAGACGTGTACTGAATATCAGTGATCCTATTTTTCACAAGGAATATATAAAAATTCTAATTATTATTTTGATTCAAAATGATTATCGCAAACGGACCATACGGATTTGATTCTATAGTGTGTAGAATCAAATCCGATCCTAAACCAAAAATTTGTCTTCCAATGACGTATATCCCCGGGTTTTCGGAAAATGCACACCGATTGATTCTGTGTTTTTTCCATAATCATTTCGAAACAGTATCCATGGAGTGGTCTCTTAAGCTTAGGGAACACCGCGATCTCTTGGTTCCCGTGATTTTAATGTGCCAGAAATTTCTCAGATATCCTATTTCATATATTGATCATATGAATTGTTGTTGTGACTGACACTTCAACACATTCCAAAACTGATTTCAGATATGTTTTTTAGTATGTAATATTGTTATTAGTTTAGTTTGTTGGTATTCGGTGGCCTTTCTTGATGAAATTAACTCTAGTAGTATCTAAACAAATCTCGTAAAAATATGTTGTTAATGTCGGTTTGTACTTTATAATATTAATCAGTTATCGAGTTTGTTACTCATGTTTGTGAATACAACTTATTTTGTATTTTGATTCTTATCAGCTTACAGACCCGAACAATTAAACGCATTTATTTAAAAATGTTGGCAAATATTTCGTTCTTTATTTAAGAACTTCATCAGTGCTTATTCTTAAATAAAGAACGAAATATTTGCCAACATTTTTAAATAAATGCGTTTAATTGTTCGGGTCTGTAAGCTGATAAGAATCAAAATACAAAACAAAAAAATTTAAACAGACGATAAACTCCATCATATCAAATACAACTTATGTCCCTTAAATATTAATTATATACTTTCTTCTGAAATGGTCGAAATAATTTCGTTATCGGATGTGGGCCTCTGCAGTCGCCACTGTTGCGTGCGAATTATGTATACTCACTACTCTTGGTATGTATATTAGTTTCAGATAAGAGAAATGATTAAAGCTTTTGCATTTCCAAAGCTACTATTCACTTAATGTTAAGATTCAACTCAATAAATAAATGCGAGAAGTATTTCAGTTCAATATGTTTAAGTTTAATAAAAATTAATTGATTTAGTAAAAATCAAATATAAAAATTACTTGCACTCCTCCTCCAATCTCGTATATCTAGTGGGTTGATGCTCCCTTAATTTGATCACTTCACCTTAGTCACCCTAGTCTTAGCCCTCTTTCTCCAACTGCCGCTTCAAATATCATTTTTAACTTTAGCATCGTCATCCATTCTCACGACATTATTAATGTTGTGATGAAGCACGTACAGCTCATGGTTCATTCGGAATCAATTTAATCGTCGCGAATTCATGAAGGATCAAAGGTCTTGTTAAGAACTTTGCTTTCGAAATCGTCCAATGCAGCTTTATCATCTCGAGATAGTGTTCATATGCGATATATACTTCGCTTTGCTCTCATTCACCACAAAGCCTATTTTCACAGATTTCTTTTTTAATAACAGCAAAGGCAACTCTAACATAATGCTTGCTACGCTATTGCTACTTAGTTCTTCCTGTGCCGAACTTTTCAATAAAAGTTAGGAAAACTCAACGATATGCATCTGAATGCTTACTTACAGGTCATAGAAGACTAAATCTTCCTCTCAAACATTATCTTAATAAGGCTCTTTTTTTTGAGAATCTTGGCGAACTATAAGACTTCCTACTGAATAGCATTTTAAGCTTTGCCAAAGGTTCTAAGTGGTTCTAACGCTCTTGAGTTTTTAATTATACGATAACACAATTGGTCAGTAGGTCCAAGTGGATCCCTTGGAATCGCCGGTATAACCTATTCTACCTAACTAATTATTTATAAAAAAATGTTCGATGCCGTTGCTTTGAGAATAAACAATCATTACGTTATGACCGAATTGTTCCCACCTATATATTTGTAAAAAAGTCATTAAAAATAATACCAAAAGGACCCTGTACTGTAAGATATTCTGTGGAGAACATAAAAATGATCCTGTACCTTACACCTAATAGCAAGGTGAAAGCCATATATTGAAATAAAAATCAATTCGAAGTTTTAATCATAAATGTGTTTTATTCATGTCTACTTTTGGAACTGCAAAGTTAATGTCCTTATATTACATTAGCCGTATTTTTTTCTTTCAGATTTGTAAAAAAACAGCATTAAGTCTGATTGAAACAAATTGGCATCACTTTTAATATATTTCAAATGCTTGTTTTTGGCATATGCTTTTGTTTTATTGTGTACAATATGAATAAATATTTTATAAATATTCTAAACAATGAAAATTAATTAATTTAAATAAAAGAAAACAAAATGAATATTAATATAATATTTATCGTATGATTGGAATTTTGCAACATATTTCCAGTGAACATTCACAATTGACTGATTTCCGAACTTGGCTGCACTGAAATTAAAGACGTAAAATTCTTTGATAGTAAAACCTAACTCTGAACATTTTAAGAGAATTATTGTTGCTTTACATTTTTTCCTTTGTAAGTTGCGAGTATTCTTTTGCTACTCTGAAAGAAAAAATTACGGCTATTACTACTAGGCGATCCACTTAAATGTAGTATTTTGTTACCATAACAATACTTTTTACTTGTTATCGGAATTGGATTTCTGATTAACAATGCTGATATATTGTATGTATGTATGTGTGTAAAATTGTAAAGCTTATATAAATTATTAAATTCAATTTATGAGATAAAACATATAATAACCATTAAAATACATAAAAAGCCACATTTAATACTTCTATTTTATTGAATTTAAAATTTTTTTAATACTCGTAATATTTTCGAAATTTAATATACATTTATTAATTTATATGTATGTATGTTTGCATTATAAAAATCAAAAAATATTTTAATATAAAACAAAAAACATTTATTAAAATATAAAATTTGTTGAAGTTATGGAAAATAGTTTTGTAATTCATGGTCGGCAAAAGTAATTTCATTTTTAAATTATTATTCATAAATAAAATTCTGCTGAACGTAGTTTGTGGACTTTCATAGTGATAAAAACAAAATATACCAGGTGGAGAGCTATGGGCAAACAAACAAACATACGTAGTTCATAAATAATATAACACTTCAAATGTAAATGATAAGCAGAAACAAAACTCTGAAAAAATGTTTGAAATGAGACACTTTGTATCGGTGAACCGGCCACAAACCACAAGGCCAATTTTGCAATACAAATTGGCTTTGATTGGAAATTAACAAATTCATTTGATGAATCAAAGAGTCAGCAATACATGCACTAACAAGCAGACCCAGACCCAGACTCAACCCGGTCAGGACACTGCAGACAGGCACACGCATTCGAGCGTGCCTTGCATGTACGTGTATGCATTTACATGTGCTTGCATGCATGTTTCATTGACGCAAAGCAAACAATTAATACGACAATTGGAATTGGAAGGGCACAGTTCCATTTCGGTTAAAAGGATACGTTTAGGGGTTACAAAGGACAAGTACTAAACCGAAATTAGGGTGGAGTTTCGAAACTATCTAATAGTATAACAATAGAAAACAATAAATGCAATAAAATAAAAGAAATTATATATGTAAGTTTAAAGTAAGGTCGGTACTTTGGAAGGATTAAAAAATTACTGCACAGAAATCAGCGATAACAAAAGAACAATAAATTTTATCCTGACTTATTTGTTGATATGTTAAATCATTTACAACCCTACAACCCTAGATTTGAAACTACCCTATATTTGTGTTACTGGATATATAACTATTTTGATATATTGTAGTATAATATATTTGTTTTTTGTTTTGATGTATGTTTTTTTTCTCGTCACTTTTGTTTTTTTTCTCGTCTCTTTTGTTTTTTTTTTTTTTTTTTACAATACATATGTATGTATAAAATTATCTGATTATGTAATTCGCATATTATATTATTATAATAGAGAAAGTTTCGAACAGTAGTGAGCTACACAACAAAAATTATTTAATTATTTTAATTAATTTC